GTCTTTTAACGGATTCGTAAATGATGCCATCCGCATTTCTAAGATAAGATATGATATTGTTATTGTTAAATTTCTCACAAGTTAATGTGCGAATGTAACTTCTTAATGATAAATATCAGTATGCAGCAAAAACGGCCGTTGAAAAATGACTCGGATAAGTGGCTTCGGAAAAATGGCCAATTTGACAAAATAAAAATAGCGCCCGCTGCTGTAAAGCCTCAATGTACAGGTAGGTGTGATTGGACGTCACTGCTGTAAACATGCTTCATAGCACTGAAATTAAAAGACAAAATGCTTTTATATCACTACTCCTTTATTTGTTTTTAATTATTTTATCTGTATTATTATAATCATCATGGTTATCATCACAAGGTTGCTTCTAACCTAGTACAGTACCGTAATTTATACAGTAAAGACAATGGTGTTTTAATGATGTTGATGCCCAATTACTTCCCTTTGCTAAGCGATGTTGACCGTTTGCATGCTTACTTATCCATCCATCACATTTTATCTTTTCTTACTAGCTTTACATTAATATAACTAAGTATGAAAGTCATCATGTACTTTATATCAAAGCTAAATCAGTAACCGGTACCAGCAACCAGTGACAATAATCGAAAATGGAGTAATTTTTTATTATTCGCCCTCTGCACTTTTAGTTGTTATAAAAGGATACAGAAAGTGCAAATGTCAGTAATGATTACTCCATTTCCTTTTATTAATATATCTTGATTTATAATTGAATCGTCCTGATTTATAAATGTATCGTCTTCTATCATTATCTTTTTATTTTTATTTTGTAGTTATTATTGTTCTTTCTTTGTAGGGCATCAAAACTTAAAGCTTGCTTGTACTTGATGCCTTTTCAATCAATCTTTGAATTGAGAATTGTAAAAAAAGAAATATATGATAAAGGAAAGTGATTGAATAAAAATTTATTGTGAACAATATGTAAGTATCAAACATTTGCTGAAATAAACTAAAAATAACTATAAATCCACGTTATCGATAATGACCTTAAGAAAGCACAGGAGGATGTTAATAAGAACAGTGCAGATGATTATTATTGTCTGATTGATCATAAAGAAAAACATAATTTACTGTGAAGTTATTTTGAGTACTGGTTGGAAATAGTGAAATTTAGTAGCCTTTGAAGCTATCTTTCAGACAACAATAATGGCTTTTTCTAATTTGCTTACATTGATCTTAAAAGTAAAAAATAATATAAAAAAAAAAATAAAAAAAAATAAAAAAAACCAAAAAAAAAAAAAACCAAACCCGATATTATTATAAATTTTGTACAGTATATAAACACAGTAAACATGACAATAAATAAGTGGTAATATTAATAACAGTGATAATGATGATAATGATGATGGTGATGATAATGTTAATTGTATTGACATTGGTAAGGGTAACAGTGATAAAGATAATGATATTCTTCCGACATGCCTTAGTACATTAAGATACCGAGACTGCAGTTTAAATTAATGGTCAAGCCAGCTCCACTAATCAACACCTCGAAAACTGTCCGAACATATCCACGGGCGTTTAGAAAGCTATAAAAATTACAGAGGATTAGTATTAATTACCACAACGTCTGGCACTAATTATTATAAATATATAAATTTAGAATGTCGATAATAATACTAATACATTATAAAAAGCTCAATAACACCACCGACAAAGTACACCCAAAGATAAGCAAAAGAGTACACATAATAATAGGCCTACAAAAAATGAGCATTCACCTCACCTTACAGAATAGTCTCCACAAGATTCAATGAAAAAATAATGGCAAAAACTGTAGTTAATATAGGTCTAGATTTTGCAATGGTCTGATTATATAAACCTATGAAGACAGTGGCGGATCTAGGATTTAGCAATGGGGGGGGGGGGGTACTGGTACGGTGGCGGGGAGAAGGTGGGGTGGTTGACAAGAGCTCAGATCTGTTTCAAAAGGTGAGGGGGACATTTTGTGAAAATTTTAGGAAATATTTGTTCTAGATGAACGGAAATGACACTTTTATATAGTAAAATTCATCGTCATCACATCACCATTATATAGTAAAAATAAAGCTCCAACAAATTTCTCATGTTTTACTAGCTATTTTCGGCAACCATAGATATCTAATTAATGTGTGATGTACTATAGAAAATAAATATTATAACTATTGTCATTGATGTACTTAATTTAGGCCTACCTACTACAAAGCCATTAGTCCACACAAGGGCTGAGGACGGAACATTTGGGGAAATAGCACCTTTAGATTACAGGAAATGACACTTTTTAATAAAAGTCATCATTATCGATCAAATTAATGGATGTGATGTTCCACTAAAAATAAAACTCAATTGTCTTTGATGTATTTTTAATTTGCTTTGTGCCGAAAACCAATCTTATTATTATTCAACGCTTTTTCTCATACTTCTCAAATTATAATAAAGGCATGTGCAAATAGTCGTGTATTAGGTCTATAAGTAATTCAGATGTTTGATTGCAGAGATAGAGTACCGGTTGTACAGCACTTTTGTTAAACCTGGGTCATTTATGCAGTTCATTTCAACAATTTTCAGGCATTTCTTTTACTTATGAAATTGTTACATTGCAGACAAAAAGTGAGGGACCAACCTCCACCCCTTAACAATATCTGAGGACGTGTCCCCCTGTCCCTCCTTCATCATGGGTTTAGGAAGAAGCATCCCCTTCCATTTGAGACTTTTTGGAATTAGTAGACGGCTCTTGAATGACATCTGAAAAGAAGTTAAGCTTAAAATATAAAATGTATGTTTTACGAGAGTAGCCTACTACATGTAACATGTAGAGAAGCACACACACAAGAAGAGTGACTATATTTTTTTTTCGAGGTCACCGAAGGGGGGTGGTTAGCCACCCTATTCCCACCCATATCCGCTACTGGAAGATTAGAAGTATTCATAAGTTTGTTACTGCCTATTTCACTTTATAATGTTTCAACATACGTTTTTTAAAAGGATAATAATAAAAAAATAGTTATTCTAAATTGTGTTTTGTATATATATATATAGTTAACAGTGTTACGATTACAAAAAACAATGCAACACTCATAACTGAAGCACTTGAAGAAAACCTGGGACCGCCGACAAACCGACCTGTACTCGACTCGCATACAATAATCAATGTATCGCTGTCCTTTGTGTTAACTCAAATTATTGAGCTGGTAAGTTTCTTAAATTATAAAATGTTGTTATAAAATATTGTCTTAAAAATGCATTCAAGGAACATATATATTTGTATATAATATGTATATACATATGTGTACATATGTATGTATATGTATGTATATATATATATATATATATATATATATATATATAGTAATGAAGGTGATGACAATAAAGACAAAAGTCAAGTTGACGTATTTTTGGAACATAATTTATTCAACACGAATTTTACGTTCACTCCTGTTGACTTCATCCTTAAAGCCCCATTCCCGGCAAAATTTCACTAAAAACTGACTTTTTTTTAGAAAATATGCATTTTCATTACTCCAATTATTATAAATCATGGAAAAATATTGGCATGAATTTTAGTTTTACGCAAAAGAATAAAAAAAAAAAATAAGAAATACAGACTATTTCTCATAAAACATTACCATTTTCTTGACGAATTCATCGTTACTAGGCAAATTCAGAGGTTGTAGATCACATCCACCGGAATACTCTCGCTTTTATGTATACTTTATACAGTCAATAAAGTGCGCCCTCTCTAGTGAGATTAGTTTTTGTACTTCGCATTTCGCACAATGCGTTCGTTCGGTTAGGTTGATATATGTTTGTTTAAGTGTCAAAATCTCAGTCAGAATCAGTTTTTTAACAAATTTGAAATAATTCATATGAAATATTTTATTACACAAGTGTCATTACTAGCAACGGAAAATATCATGTCGGCCGTTTTTATGTGTGATAACAGAACCTAAATCGAGGTAAGGCTAGGCCTAGCCTAGCAGCGTTGGATAGGCTAATGTTTTCGGCGCCTACGATATTTCCTCTCACGACCTGTCGCAAAATCAAACATGAAAATTCATCCGCATTTATTTTTTGTGTGGAACACAAAAAAAAAAAATCAAATTTCAGTCTTATTTTACATTTTTTCATTCTTAGGAATGTCTAAATTCAGTTAAACTAGCAATTCCGTATTATATTTATAAATCTTTATAACATTATACAAAAATTAGATTTAAAAAAAAAAAATGAAATTTTGCCGGGAATGGGGCTTTAAATGTTATATTGTTGTGATTTATTGATTATACTGTAATGTATATTGTCTATTTAGAAATTCTTAACAGATAAAGTTTATATATGATAAAGGACCGTTAGACTGCACTCAATTATTTAACCCATACTAGTCAATATGTTTGCTGGACAGTCAACCGTCCTAAATATGTGAATATGATGATAACTGAATTATGGTGAGTGAGGAATATGCCTTATCTTTATTACTTATATCTACACTTCGAAGAAATGGCAAGACGAGCGTATTAAATGGAATGCGTCTGAATATGACGTCAGTTGTGTGGCTATTTCCGAAGATATGATTTGGAAACCTGATTTAACTCTGGACAATAAGTAAGTTCTGACAAAGATTACTAGAAACGTCGAACTCTCTACAGATAAAGGCTGTATTAACCAATTGGACGTGGTTAAACTGTACTAACGTGAGGCCTAAAAAATGTTATGTTGTCGTAACGGGCTCCAAAAAATAGGGTAGGTAGGTAGGTTGGTTTTTTTACTGCCACAATATTTAGCAAAGTTCTAGAAATTTGTGGTGTGGTGGTGGTGGTATTATATTTTCTGACAGAATTGGCCGTCGGGTGCGACAGTCAGCCAACTTTGAAATATCAATTAGGGCCAGAGATCTATCATACTGTAACTTACGTCAGGGACAATTATTCAAAACGCATTGCGCTGAATCTGTTTTAAATGCACACTTAGTATGCCCTGTACCCCACGTAGAACAGCATATTATAGGTCTGATCTAATAAAATATTAGGTAGTAATGGTCTTGCCACCTGGTATTACACAAATCATCAACGAACTTGGCCTTTGATGATGTGGTAACGATTTTGTATAATTCAGGTTGCTTTCTATATATTTTGGCATACTGCTATCACAACGGGAATCTCCATGAACACCTAGCTAGGCTTAGGCTGCGACACATACAACGTCCCACATTCTCCTCATCCATCTTTATTCAACCTACGCCCATTCTATCCACTCTACCCTACGCAGAGGGCGCTGTATCATTTCTACCCGTCACAATATAGAAGTATAAAAATGTCTTTATTAGTTTGAGTATTAACATCAGTGCGGATAGCGCAGCTTCCGGTCTGTCAACCTTGAAGTCGGGGGTTCGAACCTTCGCTGTGAACTTCGCTTACTAATGACTCAAGTTACTGCATGGCCGTTTATATTTTTAATAAAACCAATTTCTTTTAATTTTAAAAACATTTTCCCCGAATTCGTAATAATTCGTTATCACGCAGAGACCTGTGCTAAATGCGTGACAAATTTATGATCACGCATGTGTTTCTGCAAAATGCGTGTTTCATCCAAAATCACTTTGAAATGCGGGACCGTCCGGCACGATGCGAGACGGTCGGTATCTATGTATTTGTTTGGAATATGGCTCAATTTCCAGGCCTTTTGGGTATTCGCATGGGGAAATACAAGTGTCCCGAAAGCTCAGACCACCACGAAAGCTAAGACCTAAGACCACGATCAGACCCACTCGAAATATCAGACCCCGCAAATTAAGACCATCAACTATAGTATGCCAGGATTTCTAGACAATAATACCTTTATTCGAATGCTAACGTCAATTATAAAGAACTGACTAATCATGAGTTGACATGTGGCCGTGTTGACTTGGGGTCGAGTTGACCTGCTTCCACCTAGAATTAAAAATTAAGGCAGGGAGTTTGGATTATAGGCCTAATATAGTATACTGTAGGTGCTTCTTGATTACAAGGCTTAAGCTAAGTTAATTAATGGCGAAATTATATATGGTTATTTATAATTATTATTATTGTTAATATTATTGTTATTAATATTATTGTTAATATTATTTAATAATAATTACATTACAAGGCTTAGGCCAAGTTCATTCATGCATGAGTGATATATTTAATTTATTATATTTAATATTTGTTTACTCACTGTCCCATTTTAATTTCATGTTTTAAATTTTGTTCAAAATTTCAGTCAATGGCATGCGAAGCGTGACTGTTGTGTCAAGCCTAGGGGCCTAGGCTGGCGGAAGGTGGGGGTGGGGGACTAGCAGGTAGGACCTAACTCAGCTTGGAACTGTAGGCCGTTCCACTAGGCCCATTATTTAGCCTTTTTTGCTCTAGCCTTTGATAGATGTACCTATTTACCACTGGTACTGCTATAGAAGGGGGTACTTGTTGTAGTACATTTGATAACAAACATACAAGAAGCTCACAGTTAGTTACAGACGTAGCCTACATCCCATAAATCGGTAAGATTTTATAGGTACAGTAAATAAAGAACACTACAGTAAAGGTAATAGAATACTCGAGCGTCACGACATTGCGAAGTGCCTGCTCTTGTTCGTATATCAAACTCGAGTCGAATCAATCCGAGACGGCCCGATTGGAGTTTCATACAAATGTTTCGTTCGCAAAAAAAATCGCGTACGATAGACGGTTTCGGTACGTTTTCGATAGCGGTTTCTAATGCACGTCTACCGTGCGAATACTGTATCCGATATTATAGTTCTCGATCGTCTTTATATTTTTAGGATAGTTTGTTC